CCCGCCTCGCTGCCGCCGGGCGACCCGCAGCTTATCGCACTCATCGTGGAGCAGCTCAAGAGCCGCGGCCTGTTTGACAGCTTCCGCCGGGACTGCCTGGCGGACGTGGACACCAAGGTGGGAGCGCGCTGCGACCCGCCTGAGCCCACGCCGGGCCTTGCGGGGCTGCCCCGGTTCCCTTAGCCGCGCCCGGCTCGCCGGCCGCCGGAGCCCACGGCCACCCGCGTGCCGGTACTGCTGTTCTCCGCTCAGCGACGTGCAGACTTGTGAGCGGTTAGATTAGATACATTGTAGCAGCAGCACCCGAGCTTTGTAGACCGTCACGGGTCAAAAGGGGTTTGGTGCCTCTTTTAGCTGGTAAGGTCATCTTCCACCCGCCCAGTAAAAGGAAGCGTCACTTACTTAGGTGCCAGGTTGTTTGGGTTTAACGAAGTAACGTGTGTTAAAGTGTCAGACATGTAATAGTTGCTGGGATGATTATTTTCTCTTCAAAATTATTCTAGCAAAGCTAAGCAAGTAGGGCTAGGAGGCTGTTACCGACTGGGCTGCTCAGAGTAGTGGTTTTTTGAGTTTGTCTTAGAAATCTCTTGCCTACCTCATAGCAAGATTGTGAGGTTAAAATCGGGCCCCACAGGTAAGGGAAGAGCTAGTCTAGACACTGAGCATTTATACTTGTAATGTGCTGAGTTATGTGAAAGAATTAGTTACTACCCCAGCACCTACCTTTCTGCCAGCATAGAAAACACACATGAACCAGCTAGTTTATGTATGGCAAAGGTGTGTACTGTTACACTCTTGCAGGATAAAGAACCCAGAACACCAGTGCAAGTGCTGTCTTTGAAACAAAGTATATAATTTTCTTTATTAGAAAAACATTTGCAGAGCTTTCCACCTTTCCCAAGACTGTTCTCAACATCCTGGCACAAGTTCTCTGTTCATGTCTTAAAAGTACACACATGTAGGGCCTCAGTGGTAGAGGGCTTGCCTAGCATATGTGAGGCACTGGGTTCAATCCTCAGCACCACTTTAAAAAAATACACAAAATAAAGGCATTCTGTCCATCTACAACTACACACACAAAAAAAGTACACATGTTGAGGTGGTATACACATCTGTAATCCCAGGCAATCCGGAGGCTGAGGCAGGAGGATTGTAAATTCAAGGCCAGCTTCAGCAAATACAATGAGGTCCTAAGTAACTTAATAAGACCCTGTCTCAAAAAAATAAAGTCTGGGGATATAGCTCAGTGGTAAAAATGCCCCTAGGTTCACTGTCTAGTACCAAAACAACAACAAAAAACAAACAAAAAAACCTGTGATTTTTAAATAAACAACAAAGAATTGAGAAGGGTGTTGGGAGGGCCATTGGGGCCTTCTCCACTTTTATCTCCTTAGCTGCAGTTGTGGGAGTTACCAGGTGGTTTTCATTCTTGATCATAACGTGTTTTCAGGCGGATTTGATCTGAGATTTGGTGCTTTAGTCCCATGATTTGCAAAGTGTGATTCTTGGATTAGCAACAGCAACTTCACCTGGGAACTTGTTAGGAAGGCAGATTCTTAGGCCACCAGACTGCTGGCATATTTAGAGGAAAGTGAACAAATGATGTCTACAGTATGCTTTTAGAGCTTCCAAAATATGATTAAATAGAAGGGCAGACAGGTGGTATCCTCTTTCTAGAGAGAGAGGTAGGAAGTACTTAGAATGTTGGCAGGTGTTTTGAATTCTTGAACTGAAGGGATCAGTCTGTATTATCAGGGTTTGTTAAGGTTAGAGGACGATGGTCCTTGGTCCTTGTGCTGTCTTGTCAGTGAACAGCTTTTATCTCAAATCAGGCAAGTTATTTTGAGTGGTAGAGGGTATAACACAGGGATTCATGGTTACAAGTTGACAAATCTAATTGTGACTCCTTCCAGCAGGGGCTATCTGTTGTCTCAAGGGATCCAAGGAGGGATTAAATGAACTGCCAGGAGAGGGTTCTCCCCCGGCACCAAGTCTTCCTCCCTATTTTGTCTGTCTGACTCTCCCTGCAGAATGGGATCATCCCTTTGGTTATTAGGATCCCTTGATGACACACAGCTGCTTTTCTGGGGGGAGAGGACTGCGGTTCTGAGGATGGCAGAGGGTGCCTGCGTTGTCTTAGTGTGGCCAGGACACTTGGCCCCTGCTCCCCTTGTGAAGAGAAGATGGCTCCTGGTAAAAAGAGCTGCTTGGTCCTCCCCACAGTCCCCTGCCCTCTTGGCCTTTGGAAGAGTCCGCTCATGGAGTTGAAGCCCAGTGGTTCCTTGGGCAGTCTCATTCCCCTGGCTGTTAGCAAAATTGCCAGTCACTCTGCATAACAAACAGTGTTTGTTCTCAGCTGTTAGGGCTGAGGGTCAAGCAGAGTTCGGCTGATCCAGTTAGACGTCAGCTGGGTGGCATGGCTGTGGGTTATCTGGGCTTGGGTCCAGGCTATAGGTTGGGGTTGGGCTGCTGCATGTGTGCGCACTCGAGGCCCCTGGCTGTGGGGCGGGCTGTGTGCCTTCAAATGGGCCGTCAGAGCAGAGCCAGGTCAGACAGCACAATCACAGTTAAGTCCTCGTGCCAACACTCCCCTGGCCGGAGCTCTGTATTGCCAAGATGAGCATCTCTGGGGCGAGGAAATATTCCCTTCCTGCCAGTGAGGGCGTGAGGAGTGGGGTCCAGCAGCCGTCCACGCCACCAGCCTGCTCTGGAGACAGCAGCTGACAGCCCCACAAGCTCTCAGGCTCAGAATGCACATTCCTTGTGCTCAGCGGGCAGCTGGGTAGTTTTGTTCTGCTGACATAGCTGTGTCTGGAACATGTGACCAGTAGGTGTGCCTCCAGCTCTTTGGTGGCCGGCACGTGGCCTCCCCACAGGCTTCCACAGGCTTTGACTTTGATCAGCTGAGGTGGCCGTGGCCTTTTGCTTTTATGCAGGGGACTTTCCAGTTTGATGCTGGAACACGCTCTTGGTGGTGGGGCAGGAGCAATTGTACAGATGAGATGACAGGTCGAGGGGAGGGGCAATGCTTGAGTCCGACAGCTGTTGGTGGAGGGGCCTTGCCTGGACCCCAGCACCCTGGATTTGGAAGTGCCTGGTTCCAGCCTTGACTTTGCCACATTCTAGCCATTGGCAGGTGTACTGTTGCTAAGCCTAAAAGCCTCATCTCAGGTGGGGCAGCAGTCTGCTCGTGGGCCCTCTGTTGCTGTGTTTCTTGAAAAAGTAAATAGGATCATGTAAGCACAGCACCTGGCATTGTGCTCTGCCCACCATGAGGTGAACACTCGTGATAGCCATTAATTTTCAACTGTCCTGTGACGTGGCCATCGCCATAGTCAAATGGAGGGTATTTAGACTTGAAAATACACTTTTTTATGAAAAAGCAGTGTTGTAAATGGCTGAGTTCCAGAGCTCATGTGTAATATCTAACACTGTCTCTTTCTCACGGTTTAGCCAGCTTACCAAAACCTGAGGCAAAAAGTGGATAATTTTGTGTCAACACATCTGGACAAGCAGGAGTGGAATCCTACGATGAACAAGAACCAGTTACGAAATGGGCTGAGGCAGAGTGTGGTTCAGTAAGTAAGCAGGGTTGGGGCCCTTGCTCTGGCAGGAGTCACAGGTGCGAGGCCTGGGCAGGCAGCCTGGGGCCCTGCAGAGACGAGTGGTGGCACTATGTAAGTGCAGCCATCTGTGCCTTCGGGTAAGCCATGGTGAAGTGGCAGAGCCTGGCTGGTGTTCCAGGGCTCACCCAGGCTGGGTAGGTGCCTGGGTAGGTTGTACCAGTGCCATTGTCCTGGTTTTGCATTCTTCCAGATTGTGAGGCCTTTCCCACTTTTGAAGTGTAAGGTGTAGTCTGAATGTGATTTTTACACCCAGATACCAGTGTTTGGGTCATGGGCGAGAGGAGCTTGATCTTTGTGCTCACAAAGGCAAGTGGCATCTGTGAATTCTGGGAGTCCACCCAGGCTACTGCGCAAGGGTGGTAACCGCCCCAGGAAGATGGTCTTGGAAAGTGTTGCCTCCCAATAGCGAACCAGGCCTCCACTACGGCTCTTCAGAGCTCAGCCAGGCCGCTCCTCAGTGTCAGTGCTGGGGATAAGTCAGGTGACCTCAGATCAGGTTTTTCCAAATGACTCAGCCTTTAACACCAGTGCTTATTTTGAGGACTTCTGGATCCAACTCTTCTGTATCTAAAAGCCTGTGGAACCCGTCTCTTTTAAAATAGAAATACAGAGAGTTGTGGTGAGCAAGGAAAAGCTGGTATTGAAGGGATGCCTGGCACAGTTTTTCCTAGAGCATCCACGAGTCAGAAGTGATGGCACAGTTCAGCACTTTATAGTGGTGCTTACATGTATCAGTCTGTGGGATAAAGTTGTACTGCTGTGGCTTGTTCCCAAAGGTTCCTGGAAGCTGTACCTGGAAACCTGGTCCCCAACGTGGTGTTGAGAGGTGGTAGAATCTAAAAGGGGGGTTAGCAGAAAGTGGCGAGGTCGTGGGGCTCCGCTCTCATGAATGTGTCAGTGCCGCCTCATATGCCTCATGGGACTGGATCGGTTTCCTGGAAATCAGTTGTTATAAAGTGATCCAGCTTCCTTCTCACCAGGGAATCTGTCTCTGCACATGCCCACTTCATCTTTGAGCGGGGCCATTGCTATTTGAACTTTCCACTCCTCAGAGTCATTAGCCAAGTAAACCTCTTTGTAATGCATCAGCAACGTCTGCTGTTCTCTTAGAGCAACACAAAACAGGTGACAGTGGTGTGTGGAGACAATGGTGTGTGGAGGTGTGCAGTGTGTGGAGGTGAACATGGAGGTGAGCGGCACGCACACAAATGAATGCAGGTGTAACTCTAACTCGGGTCTCAACTCTGGTTGCACCAGTGCCATTGTCCTGGTTTTGCAGTCGTGCTGTTGGTTGACAAGGTGCAAACTTCAGGGTGCCTGTGTGGGCCTCCCTGTATATCGCTTTACAACTTCCTAAGGAATCTACAGTGATTTCAAAATTTAGATACTTAAAAGTAGGGAAGATTTTTAATAACAAGCTGGCGTTTTCAGTACAGCTTATAGCTACTAAAATGTGAATCTTTTTAACAAATAAGGCTAAGGTTGGCGCGAGCTCCTGGTGTTGGCTCATTCCAGAGCCTCCGCCCAGTCGGTACCTTGCCTTTCTCAGGGAGCAGACTGGCCCTGAGGCCTTCCAGCAGGACGGAGACAGAGACTGCCCCTTGTCTAGCAGCGATTATTACATATCTGGCACTGGCACTCAGATGTGTTGCCACTGTGAACACTGGTTTTAGAGTCAATGTGACAACAGCTACCCTTGTTTACCCGACCTCCTCCAGGGTTGGCCAGTGTGAGGAGAGAGCCAGACAAGCACAGAATGATTCAGGGCTGTGGGAAGGCCTCCAGACTCACAAAGGCTGTCAGAAGGCTGTCAGTTGCTGTTAATTTCCATGTTGAGCCCTGGGGCCATCCCCGAGTTAGCCTGTGGCAGGCACCTGGTTTTGCAGAAGCTTAATAGGGAGTTCCCGGAAAACTTTACCACAGACCAGGTGAGCAGGTCCACTGGCCTGATCACCCCTGTCCCCTTGCAGGACTTCACCCACTCCTGACTTCACTGGTCATCATTTTTTTGTTTTTCTACATAGTTTTATCATCTGAGTAAGTTTTCATTCATTTTTTTTTCTCATTTGATTTCAAATGTATTTAATATGAAAGCAAGAATTTGACTTTAATACTGGAACATTTCTCATGATTCTTGCTGATATTTTGAGTTTGAAGCAAATTCTAGTTAATGTTTGAAAGGAAGACTTGATTTTTGTCTCTGGTGTGCCATCACCAGATGGAACTTACAGGCCCTGTTGCCTGGGATGCTTGGCCTCAAAGCTCAGGCCTGGGTGCTGTAGGCCCAGGGTTTCACAGGAAGTTGGGCTCCTCGGGAGCAGGGGAGGGTAACAGCTTTTAATTACAGGATATGTTTTCATTCCATCTTCTATTTTTGTCTCCTAACAAGGTCTCACATTTCCTCCAAACACTTTTAAAATTTCCAGGAAAATAAGCTACCCTCTCTTGGAACTGTGTTTTTCCTGATCAGGTGTCTTGCTCAGTTGGGGCTCCTTTAACAAGGTAGCTCAGATTCTGTGACTTATAAACAACCAAAATTTATTTCTCACGGTTCTGGAGACTGAAAGTCTGAGAGATGCCAGCATGGCTGGGCTCTGCTGAGGAATGTCCTCTGGCTTCAGGCTGCCAGCTCCTCAGTATGTCCTCTCATGGCGCAGAGAGGGCTGGCTGGCCTTCTGGGGTCCCTTTCCTGAGAGCACAGATCCCATTCATGAGGGCTCCCCTTCATGATCTGATCACCGTCCAAAAGCCCCAACTCTGAATACTGTCACATTGGGGCTGAGGTCTCAACATGCCAATTTTGAGGCACAGACATTTGGTCCATAATAGGTTGTCATAAGCCAGGCGCCATCTTGACTTGTTTACAGACCTTAACAGGCTTCTGTCAGTAAGCATTGTCACCGTGGAGTCTGGGAAGCCCTTCTTCATGAGCAGCCCTCCTCGCTTGGGGCCTGGCTCCCGGCTCTTGTCACACCTTGATTTGTCTTGCTCTGTGTCCGGCCATCTGTTTGCCCAATAACTGTGGGATTGTGTCCACCCAAGGGAAAGCTCAAATGCCCAAGACCCATCTAAAGGAGATGAGTAAGCCCTGCCACCTGCCTTTACAGGGGTGAGTGCTTCATCCTCTGGGAAGGGGCCTAGGTTGAGAGCCCTGGGAGCTGCTTGCACTCCTCAGATGCAACTTGCTTCCGTCACCGCAGTCTTCCTCACTTCCCTGCTCCAGCCTCAGCCTCTGAGGACAGTGTGGTGGGCTCTGCCTAAGTGTCACAGTACTCCCAAAGGGGGGCCCACAGGAGCAGAGGGCTGCTTGCCTCCCATTGCCTGTTGCTGCCTGGACCTAGCAGCCTGGCAGAAGGCCATGGGCAATTGCTCTCCGGTCTCAACTGGTTAGTGTGGCTTAGCTTTGAGGTTGCATGCAGCATTGCTGCAGGGGCTGCCTCTGCTTTGGCTGTTAAGAGAGCAAGTTTGGAGGAAGTGCAGTCAACTCCAAGGCCGGCTGGCTCTGACAGTTCAGTTAAGGTTTCTTTCTTTCTTCTGTTTTGTGGTGCAGAGGATTGAATCCATGGCCTCACACATGCCATGTAAGTGCTCCACCTCTGAGCCCCATCCCAGCTCTTTTTGAGATAGGGTCTGACTGGATTGCCCAGGCTGACCTTGAACTTGGGACCTCCCACCTCAGCCACCTAGGTGGATTAAAATTGTGTGCCACCGTGCCTGGCTACGATTCAGTATTTCAACCTGCACAAGTCCATTTTCTCCTCCCTGTTGTCACTTGCTCTTCGTCTTTGGGCAGTCTGGTTGGTTCTGCTTGGTTCCTCTGTGCAGGGTGAAGTAGTTGTGGGTGAAACTGTGAACCAGGAATGCTAGGAGCTGCTGGTGGTGAATTGCCCCTCAAAAGTGGAAATAGTGGCCCAACCCCCATAGGGTGGATAGCTCGCCCAGTGAGAGAAATCTCCGGAAAGACTCGGGTAGACCTTTACTAGGCTCTCGGGTGACACTTGGGGCTTGCTGGGCCTAAAGGTGACTCAAAGGAACTAAATAACAGAGTGCTCTGTTTTGTCTCCATAAGGTCGGGGATGCTGGAAGCAGGAGTAGACAGGATTATTTCTCAGGTGGTGGATCCAAAACTCAACCACATCTTCAGGCCACAGATTGAACGAGCGATTCATGAATTCCTGGCAGCCCAGAAAAAAGAAGCTGTGCCAGCACCCCCTCCTGACCCAGAGAGCCAGGACCTGCCTGCCCCGTCCCAGGACACTTCCTAAGGTCCGTACGCCATGAAGCCCAGGAGCAGGCACCCCCGGCTTGTAGGTGTAGAAAATGGATAGAAAAGGGACAGGCTGTGATGGGATCAGACTCCAGGTGTACTCAGAAGAGGGCTCCTACGGGTGGGCCTCACCTCCTACAAGGAGTCATCTCTCAATGCAGACTGGTTGGTAGCACCTTCCTGTGTCGGCAGGTGTGTGATTTTCTGTGCTACCAGAGCTAAGCATTTAAGCTACAAATAGACACTTCTTTAGAAATGGGCTGGGATGGTTAGTGTGCGCAGGGAGAGTCAGGCGAGGGTCTGCTGAGGTTGCTTAGACGAGCCTCTTGGACACGAGTTCCCGAGTCCACAGTGCCTCCACCACAGTTATGTGTATAAACTCCTGTCCCTCTTGTATTAAGTCTGGAGTTACACTTCATTTCAAAAATCCACTGGAGATGCGCAAATGGATGTTCTGCAGGTTTGGAGAAACATTAGTAAATATGAGCTGTGGACTTTTAGGGTATATCTTCTCATTCTGCCATCGGTGTTCTCTTGCCAAGATTCTTGAAGGTGTCTGTTGTTTTTAATAGGTCAGGTAAGTGGGCGCACTGACTGGGGCCGTTAGATCACGGTGACCAAATGATGCCTGAGTGAAGGGCCAGCAGGACATCCCCCCGGGTGGTACTGTCTCTGTTCCTCACCA